TTATGTATATTATATATATATTTTAAACTCAGACTTCTCCTTGAACATAAATGTGATAGCAAGGTGGCTAGGACTCCCTATTTGCACCCCTGCCTCCCTTAACCTGTCACATGCTCTTTCATTCTAGCGTTTCCTCTTTTCATCTCGGTGCCCTCACAAAGAGGTAAAAAATGTCACTCAGGGTGCACTCTACAATCTGTTTCTATTGGGGTGTTTTTTTATTTTGTGGAATTGTAAGGGTTTGTAATCAATTAACGATCTTTTTTGTCCCTGTTGTCAAAGTTTCTTGGGATATGGCTTTTGTTCTACATACTCTTCAATGGTCTCTTAGAATTTTTAAAAAATCCAGAATAAGAAAATGCATTCTACCATGTTGACAATTTAGTTTGCTCAGCTACAGGGAAATATAGTAGCATTTTAGGTTACAAATATAGGTTATAGGTGGCCCCAGCTCTAATTTGATTGAAGGTAGTTATCTTAGGGGTTGACATCACATAGACTATCACTAAGGCTTCCACCTGAAGGAAGATTAATAAACTCACCTCTGGGCTTTGTATCATGTCCCAAAAAGGCACCATTGGGCTGGCTTTCACCTGAGTAATGGCAGGTAGATTAGCAGATACTTAAGAAGACAGAAGAAAGGGGGAATGAAAGTGACTAACTACAGGATGAGGCCAGGGGATGCCCTGTACTGAAATGCCCTATCCTTGTGTTTGAATCCAAACCATCTTAAGTCCAAATCAGTCTTGGACTTCTCTACTCATATTTGTTTCACTTATTCCACTTCTTTCTTATTTCTATGGAAGAGTTAATTAAATTCAACACATATTCTGTCAGTTTTAGTGGAATTTTTTATTCTTGATGTATTTTAACATGAATCCATTCTCAATATTCCCTAAAGTAATAAATGATAATAGAAGATATTGCAAAGAAATAGAATTAATAAAAATAAATACACTCACTCCTCATTTATCGACATGGTTAGGTTCCAAAAACCAGGTCACTATTCAAAAATCAGTGTTATGTATAAATGAAGGATGACCACATCAGATCACAAAATGGAGGTTGATTACATCATGACATAATTTCCAAATGACATCATTATACAACTGCCAAGTTATTTCATTGTATAACTCCAAACCACTGAGAATCATGGCCCTGCCAAGTTGGAACATAATCTTAACCATTACAGGTTGCCTCACACCTCTACGTTCATTACTGCCAGGCATATGTCCTTAATGTACAAAATAGATAGTAGATTTTTCACTATTGTTGTAAATGCGAAATGTCAGATAACAAGATAGTTGATAAGTGAGTAGTAGGTATAAATGAAATATCTGTACAAAAATAGTTGATAAAAGGTAAACAATAAACTGGGGAAATATTTACAATAAGCATAGAAGTCAAATATTAACTATCCTTAATTTTTTAGATCTTTTAATTCAACAAAACTAAGCACAACAGAAAAACAGCAAGAACTTGAACAGAACCTTCCCCCAAAGGAATTGAGTAATTTAATATTTATTCTATTATAGTTGGTTTTTGTCTTTATTTTTATGCTTTCTGTATATTCCGTATTTTCAAATGTAGGCATATATATTATGTAAGTCTGAAAAAAATCATTATGTTTTAAAAATGAACATTTACTGAGAGAGCACTAACTTTGTGAAGCGTGAAGACTTGACTGATCGTGCATCTTCTGCTGTGTGTCTCTCTCCCCTTGTGTTTCTCCTCCCTCTCATTGTATGAGAAAAGTGAAAGTCGAATGCAGAAACAAAGAGAGACGTCAATAAAGAGAAATGAATGAAATGGAGAGGAGTAGAGGCTAGCTGGCAAACAGAACATTGAAAGGATAAAGGAGGGTGAGGCAAAAGAGTTGAGAGCTCTTAAATGAAGGCTTCATGATAAACATAAGGCTCCACAGGAAGGTTTGATGTACACAGCACACATGCGCGCGTGCGCGCGCACACACACACACACACACACACACACACACACTGTGCCAGCACACACACTAGCACATGAACACTCCAAGGGGAATTTGTCCTTAATCATGGGGAGAAAGCTGTAAAGTAAAGGAGATGACAAAAAGATTCTCAAAGGCAAAAATGTACCTACTTTACAATTGTATTTAAGAAAGGTTCTTCCCTGTTTCTACATATGCTCCTTTCAGTCTATTCTCAGTTCAGCTGCCAGAGTGATCTTGTAAACATGTAAGTCCGACTGCATCACCTCACAACTCAAAAGCTTCCACTGCCTTCTTAGCTTACAGGGAGTGAAAGTCACTGAGCTCTTCTCCCATAACTCTCCCCTTCTTATGTACTACGCCAGCCATGCTGACTGACTTCCTGGCTGCTCCTGCATACACCTGGGACGCTCTTGCCCTGAGTGTTTCTTTTCCCATTTCACTTTTTCTGCAGTACTCTCTTTTTATGGCGTACTCCTATACTTTCTTCAGGTCATTACATCTTCTCAATGAAACCTTTCCTGGCCCCTCTAGCTACTTCCCTACATCTATATACTGAAACACATACTAACCCCCTTTCTGCTTTATTTTTTTCTCCTTAACATTAAC